TCCACCTTTTCTCATTCCTACAGCTGCGGCCCGCAGGAAAGTAAAAATTCTTCTAGTTCTCTTGTAAAGAGATCCAAATTTCCTTTCTGATTTCTGCTTTCTTCCCCACCAGACTTTAAGAAAAAGAGTAAATGAATTTTTTGACAGTGGATACTTCATGAAAGCTTTGTTGCTGTCCCTTCTTAGTCCCTCTTCTCACCAGTTAAATATCCATCGATTTACAAAACAAATCATCAAAATATTGAAACTACAACACATCTTTTGACCGTTTTCTGGTCCGTTCAAAAAACTTATTTAATTGCAATGCTTCAATTTTTTACACAGAACTCGACAAGTGGCACCATCTAAGCTTATTTTTTTTTATATCCCTCTTTTGCTTTTTTCAGTGCGACAGAGATAGGACAAAAACATGAGTTGTAGCAACATAACAGCTCTCTTTTGTCCTATACTCTTCTTTAAACTATTTTCTGTTTCCTATCACGTAGGAATTACGTAGGGGGTGGATTTGAACTCCTTCCAGATTCCTATTATCACAGTTACAAAGTGCGTGCACTGACCACCACCGCTGACAATGTACTACCTTTGTGAAACTGCAAAAGGATTAAAGCGACATTTAACATTAGGCACTTGGAAAATTAAAAAGAACTAGAAACACATGACAGAAACTAGTACAGACAAATTAGGAACTGACGAAAACCTTTTATACAAAAATTAAGTAAGGTTGATGATCAAAAAAAGTATGGGCCTTTTTAATCTACAGAAATCCCAAAAATACTGTTTATCTTCTACTTTCTTTCCTCCCCCCTCCCCCTTCCGTCGCCTTTTCAATAATGCATAATATGTTCAATGTGGATAATGTAGGAAGAACCTAATTTCTAAGCCAGCAAAGTTTACAATTTTAATTGAAAGAGCAGCATAGTCGTATTCCAAACTTAGAAGCACTATAATGAATAATTTTTGTACTTACTGTGGAGAATGACGCTGATTAAGAAACCTAGAAGTCCCATCATCAGATAACAAATCTCCACTGTTGATACTAAAAATGTGTAAATTATAGAGTTGAAGAAAATCATTTCTGTTGCCGTTTTTTAAAAACTACTAACAAAGCGACACAGTTATTGCTTATTTCCTTATGTATCGGGGAAAACGAAAAATCGGCAAAAAATAAGCAGAAATTGATTACACTCACTTCTTCGATTCCTTAATTTCCCGGCGACATTCTTTTGTTAGACGCAAAAAAAGGAATGAGAAAAACCGCGAATAAAAACGTCGTATCTCCTCTCGATCCTCCTGCAGCAATTTCCTTTTCCACTTCTCCGGTAATCAAGACTTTCTTCCTTGAAAAATCCCTTTCTGCCTAAAGAATGAGATGCAAAAACCATAAACCCACAAACTCATTACAAGCACTGATTAATCTAGTGACAAGGCATACGATTCTTTCGAGGCATTCAGATTTAAGTTACTTTCCAGCAATTTTTTCCTAATAGTTCGTTACAACTACCAACAAGATTTTTGTAATTGACGAACATTTGCTATAAAACTTCCTGTATAATCCCGGGAAAAAACCTTATCTTTTTACTATTTACTCCTGTAAGAATTAATTAACCACCTGTTACCTTACAAGACCGTACCACTTGAATATTACTGTAATTCAACCTTCCCAATTTCCTGAAGTAACGAAAGTACAGAGAATACACTAATCTTCGTCAAGTTTGCGAACGTTAATCAAAATAACAGTAATAACAACAAAAAATCAAATAACTTTAACAAGCTGATTTTGTTTTTTTTGTTGACCCCCAGGTGACTTGACCATCTGATTGGCCTTCAAAGTCGTCAATTTGGGGTCATGCTAACTTAAGAAATAAGTTCTTTTGAGTGTTATCGCGACACCATTCTCACAAAATTTTTTACAAAAGTACGGTGAAAATGAAAGGATAACCAAAGAAACAAACGTTCTAAGCGAAATTAACTAATAATTTCTAGGAACCTTCCCTCGTCATCAAAGAAAGACAGTACCAAAACAAGTCATTTTATCATTTGACCATTATAGAACGAATAATGCGTTACTAAGATGTACTAGTCTATGCTTCCATCAAAATCTGTGAGAACGCACTATCGTCTGTAAGGTAGCTGGGAAAGAGTTAGCCAACATCAGTGCCGGACACCTGTTATTTAACCAGTGGATCGTCTGCTCCTAACTTGCATTCAACCACAAAGTAAAAAAGTGCGGTTAGTTGGACTGCGGTATTCAGTTCAGTCGTTTTTCCCGTTACTTGTATTTGAATTTGAAGATTTTTTTCATTAGTTTAAAATGTTAGAACCAACGTATCTTCTGTACTTTCAGACTGAATGCAGTTGGAAGGTTTTACAGTGCTCTTGGATAATACGAGACCTGATCATCACTCTTCTGGCCGCATCATAAGTATTTCATAAGTAAAGACAGTGTATTCGCATGCATTCGTCTCTCCAACCCTTTTGGAGATATTAACGTGCCTGCAGATATTAAGCTCTGCAACGGTTTTACAAGTATACAATAAGGCGTTTGCACGGTCTTTTTATCAGAGCTTTATAGAGGACTGTTTGGAGGTGCCCCAACGCAGGTGGCTGCTGCAACCAACATTTTCTGCAAAGGTAGCACAAATTTACTCACACTGACTGGTGGCTGCTCAAATATCAATCAGTCAGTACGACTAAGAGTAAAATTGAAAGGGTTTCACTCAGAGAATCTGGATCATTATTAATTTTTCGCTCTTTCCCATCCTCATCGCCTACTCTTTTTCAATTTTGCCTTGTATTTCTTAGAATTTTGTGTTAAAGAGTGCTGGAAAGGGAAGTTTTTAAGAAGCAATAAAGGCAGTCTATATACTGAAGGTAGATAAAGGGAGAGCTTATTTTACAAAACACTTTTTTTCGTCTACGTTTGCACTGCTAATCTTAGCATAGCTGACACTCGTTCGACATTGGTGTTCTTGTTCCAAAAGGGCTCTTGTAGTGTGTTTTTGTTTTTGCTCATACTTTCTTGTCGAGGAACTTTCTTAAAATCAGTAGTTAAAGAAATAAGCAGTTCTTTTACTCAAACTTTTTGGCTTAATCGTAAACCTTAAAAATTCGCTGTTTAAAGCAGCTTCTTCTTTAAAAGTTCTAAGAGTTTCCGTGTCGTCGGCGGCTGTTAAGGATGGCAAACTGTGGGAGCAATTAGATCAGCGTTTTGATACAGTAAATCTTGTCAACTTATGCCACACACTTATATGAGCTACAGTTTTAGAGTGAGCGCCAAGTTGTATTACCACTTACTCCTTTCTGTCCTTGACTAATTCACTGCCTAGTAATTTTTCAGACTATGAAATTAAAAAGCAGAAATGTAGCACATTAACAGGAAGATATAACTGGCTACCGAATTGTGTCATAGAAAAGAGAATTTCATATCTACAGCCTTATTGGCTGAACTGATTAAAACTAGAGTAAGGTGCCAGCGATGAATTAAAAGTAAGGTCTCAACAACAACGTATAGTTTATTTTTTTGCAAGAGAGTGCTTTTTTTCTAGTTTTTTGGTTTATCTTATGCACAACTTTTTTCTTTACTTCACCATTTTTATACTGCTAAAAAATACATCAGTTCATTTCAAGTAGACGTAATAAGAAAATATGATATAACTGCATGGGAAAAATCAAAGCGTACGCCGACTCTTACAGGGTCAGTAAAACAAAAAAAGTTGAATAATTTAATTGGGCTCAATTTTTATTGATATTTGCAATGTTCTAAACAAGTTAGGTGACTTTTTTTCTTCACTTACAATTAAAAAACATGCAGTATCACTGTTCCAAAATTATTGGTGCACAAAAGCGCTCAAAAACTGAGAACCAAATCAACATATATACAAATATAAATGTAAATATAAATATATATATATATTCATATATATTTCTTTTTTTAATAGATATTTATACATATATATATTCAAAAATCAACAGCAATGACAAACCACCAAAACGACCAGCTAAATAAGTGAGTGTTTAACTGACTGACTGTTCGATTGATTGAATTGAAACACCAGTTTGTACGCCGGTGAATAGACGGCTTTTTGTTATGTAGATTTCTATCGTCTACCGAAATTGTCGCTTTAGAACAGGCAAAAGCAGCATTATTTATCTATCAATATACAAATAAAACAGTTTCAAACTAACCGAAAAGACAGATAAAAAAAAAAAACAGAGCAGGAGAAAAAAAGATTTTACCGATATTGAGGTTGTCCGTAATAACCATATTATTTGTTGTCAAAAAAACGGATATGTTTGAACAGCAGTAGTTTACTCAGAAATCTCTCCACCTTTAGCGTTTCCAAAAATGCACATCTATTCTATCCGTCAAAAAATTATTTGATGTTTTACTGATCTGATTTAAGAGAGCTTCACTATCTACCCTATATAACACTATTGATACTTATTATTCCAGTAACATTTTATTGTTATACTTATTTTACCTACTAAAATCAATTACGTTTATTCACTACTGCTATCATTGGCATCGTCATATTTTAACTAATCAAGCAGTATGAGTATCGATGTTAGTTTTCTCGTTTAAACCACCTAGTTTTATCATTATCTTTATTATCATAAATCACCGCTATTATTAATGCATAAATTTCATAAACAGAAAAAAAAAAGCAATTCTCATTATTAATTTTTTTTAATAATATACCGACGTTTATCAGACGAAACTAGTGACTAAAGTATACATTAATAGTTATTTATTCTTTCTTTGGTTAATATACTTTTGCCGAAGAAAAAAATTGTTAATTTAATTTAAATTGTTTATTAGTTTATAGATAAAAACAACTGTTGTTTAAAAAGTTCGAAATGATTTTAAGAACACTTTTGGTAGCAGCTGATTTATTCAGTGCCAGTAGCGTTAGGACGGCTGAACAATCAAAAATAGTGCAGATTTTTAGTTGATACTGTTGCTATAACCTAAGATGATGTGGTCCTCGTTGTAGGAGGATATGAAATCAGCGGCCACAACATCCTATGTATCGGCATTCCATTACGGTAATGCCCTCCCATCTGTAATATCAGCTGCTCGATTGCTACGTCTTAGAACAGGTATATTCTGTTATCATCGGTGACGGTGTAGTCAAAATGGCACAACTAACAAAGTTATAACTCAATAAGTTGCACCTAAACTTAGCCATCTCAATGATTATCTTACCTAGGTATCCTCATAAAAATTTCTCTTCTATAATGTCTTCTTAGCTGTTTAAAACAATTACCTTTCGCTTCTTTACTTATTATCTTTATTGCCCAGGAATTTTAGAAGTTTACAGCACCATACACAATCTAATCCAAATATGCAGTAATTTAAATATATTAAATACAACTATAATTTCTTCATATGACAGTTGTAAATGCTGCAGCATTAGTGAATTTTACAGTTAAACTGCTGCAGCATTATAGTTTTTAACTCTCGTTTTTGTTTCAGCAATAAGTTTCAACGATGAACAACCGCGAAAATCAATCAGTCCATTTTCACCGGAAGCTCGGGTACCATTACCATGCGAAATGGATGAAAAGTTGTTTTTACGACTTGCCTTTGAGTTACTTAAACAAAAAAAGGAACCAATTTTTGTTGATCCTTTTCAAAACAGCTAGAAATTTAGAAGAGAAGAAATAGTAAAATAAAGATCGAACTGTTAAAGAAAGTG